ACAATGTGTGTTTCTTTAAATCAAGTTCAAACAGAATAAAACAGATGTAAGGCGCGCGAGAAATATCCCAATACCGAACTGTTAAATGATTCTTGAAGCATTTCCATGGAAAATCTGTTCATTGTTTTGTCTCCTTTTCGCAAAGTATCTAATAATAAGTGACTCTTCTAAAGAAAATTATAATGTATTTTTGCATTCAAGAAATAATTATCAAATTCAATAAAGAACGTACTAACTTCAGTATGAAAAATTGTAATTCATCTAGTAGACAATTTAAATGGTTCTCAAGATCGATATGTTTAATGCGCATATTTTGAATAAAGTAAGTTTGTAAAGAGTATATAAAAATAGTTTACAAATTAGTTTTGCCACGATAAAGCGTATCAATCCTCGTCGTTGAGTCGAGCGATCTTTAACTCGATCGAATGTTTCAGCCATGTAAAATTCACCTACCAGCTGTTTCGTGCGACGATCCGGAATAGATTCTATCGTGAAAAGTGGTGGAAGCTCGCGGAAGGCATCGGCGAAGGAGAAAAATCTAATAGATGATCGAAATCGAGTTTGAGCCCCTGTAAGAAACTAGCCATTCCACCCTTCTTGCTCGTGTTCGCGTTACTACATTGTCGACACTGTCGCCCCATCAAGCTTGGAATGAAATCCAGTTCGCATTTGAATCAGTCAGTAACGCAATCCATTAGGCTCTAACAGCCAATACTCACAGGATGGAGTGGAAAGGAACGTTTCTAAAATGGGAAAAGAAAAGGAGATCAAAGAAACTTAAATACAAGATGTAAGACACAGGACATCGCGAATCATTAGTCTCTACTGTGAGCAGATCTCATTCAATGAAGAAACCTCTGTCACAGTTGTTTTCTGTTATATCGACTCATGCGATCAGGATTACTTTTTCGTTTGTAAAGAAAATCTTACATGACTTTAATTACATAGTTTTTTTACAATTCCTATTACAATTGTTCTTTAATAACTCCTTCTTAAAATTTATGTTTCATATTTAAATACTTTTCTCAGACTTTGGAATTGAGCGTTTCGTAATAGGTACATTTACTCCTATTTGTAAAATGATTAATGTAACATAGCCCAATTTTGAACAGGAATCTCCTAGCCTTAATAGCCGCAATACCAAAATTTCATTTGAATTTTATTAATTTATGCTCTTATGTTTTTAAGAATTTCATCGAATATAATTGAGTAGAAAGACTCATTTACCCTTTACAAACCAGTGATGAACAGTAAAGGTGAATGTTTTATAAATTACGAAATATGTTTACAAAATTTTATCCATCAGCTTTGCAACATAATAATATATGTTGAGATAAATGAATAAATTCCTCTTTGTGTATATCAAATATGTATATAATTCACAAAATAGATAATTATAGCACATTCTAAAAATGTCCTACTTTCCCCGTTTACACTTCTTTCTTTCTATAGCGAATGATATTAAATGACATGCTCAATAATTTCTACTGCTCTTTCAACTAGAAAATATTAGTAATATTAAAGGCTGAACATTGTTTATATTCGATGGTCGATTTTATTACTAGATACTAAATTAAATATACATACATATTATCTTTCATCCATCGAAAGCATTTTTTAACATAGTATCTGTCTAGCTTTTCTCGTTATGAATTAATTTTTAAAGACATACAGTAGTAGTTGGAGAAAGGAGTACTTTTTCAGAATACATTTTCTACAATCATAAAAGTATGACTAAAATAGAATAGAAAATCCTTATGAAAAATTGATGTCTATTTTATTATAAAATATGTTATACTTTTTCTTACTGTAAATATAATTTTCTTAAACATCAAGTAGTTCAGATTCTCAAGAAGTTCTGTGGAAAGCGAGAGCTGATTATTTTTTTCGTGTATATATCAAAGAAGGGTTTCGAATTTGATATAACTAAAAATTTACATTATTCGTAACGATTTGTATAGTTTGAATAGTATTAAAAGATGAAGTGTACATTTAGACATGTACGAAATAATTTAAATAGAAATTCACAACGTTGTAATGTTTTCATTGGGCAAATAATAAATTTTCCTATAATGCTTATCTAATAATAGGTTGAACATATCTGCTTTGATAATTCTATTTTTTTTAATCACATACTTTCTTATAATCCTTCAATAAAATTGGTTAGTAAACTGCGAATCATAAACTATATCTGTTTACATTAGTCTATACTGAATACTAACCAAAGTGTTGCATAATATGTATTAATTCACCGGTTACAACTCTGTTCTTTACAGTCTTCTCCCTGTACAAATTCCATTATTCACCAATATATTCATAGAACGATGAAATCGGTTTTGCACATTTATCGTTAATTTTCATGATCATTACCTTTCTCGTCAATACTATACGTATTTCCGAAGTAACGAAAGCGCGTCGAAGTCCGTATCTTCGGAAGACTAGATGCCGTCGTCGTTCTCCACGCCTCAGGCGCGATAAAGACATCGTGTTTAGAGTGAGATTCACAGCGGTGATAAGCCGAAGTACAATGCTTTGAATACCCATCCAGCATCCCGATAAGATCTTAACGTCCTCTAAGAGTAAACGAAATTAAATTCGCTCGGCGCTCTAAGGGCAGCCAACTGCAGCCGTTAACACGGGCCTAGAGTACAGTTCTCGGATACGGATAGATACGAAAACCATGTACCAGGAGATCGATACGTTTCTTTCCCTTTCTCTTTCCCGTTCTCTTTCTCTTTCTCTTTCTGTGTATCCTCCCTTCTGCTCTGCCTCCTCCACCTCCTCTTTCTTCCCTCTTTATACCTCGCCAGCATTCCCTTCCGGACTTCACGTGAACAAGAGGATTCAGATCGGTTTTCATTTTTCCCTTTCACTTTTCGAACTATATGGATTTCGTGCCAAATTCGTCCGACTCACAATCAGTTGACAATTTGTACGGGCTCGGGCAGTTCACGGTAACGGTATCGTTTAGATTGTTCAGTCGCGTAAAATATACGATAATGTGCATACTAGATGATGATATCTATAGGTTACGATATCCCGAAAAATTTCAGTGCACCTCTAAATGCGAAGCTTAAACTTGCCATTTCGAACACATTTTTACACGACCAATTTAGAGTACGCAGATAACGTACGTCGATAGTTCGTAAGAGATCCGCAAAGACATCTTGAACGCGGTAAAAACGTTAAGCGAAGGAGTTTCCTGAAAAAGGCAAACACATAAGATATCAAGGAGTACCTTGTTTATCATTACGATCAAATTTCAGCTAATGGGTGATAAGTAACTACCAGTTTCCACGATCGTAATTACTATGGACGATTACGTGTACCTCAAACGCGGTTTAACGTCTTCGTTACTCTTCGGTAGTAAGCATTATTTATATCGTTGGTGCTGGTTACCGTATTCCTCGATGTTTTATGACAAATAAAAAAGGCAATGTCGCGTAGGTCGATGAGACGTGGCACGAGATAAATCTGCGAAACGATAGAGACTATAGACCACGTGTACATAACGTGGCATCTAAACGATTTCATTCGTGTCAGTGACCGTAAAATTAAACGGACCGGCGTTAACCGTGATCTATGCACGTCTTCGCTTCTAGTTACTTTCCTGGGGCGAAAAGCAAGCGAGAAATAACAAGAACAGGGGGACACGGAGGGAAAATATCGAAACGAGCGGGAGGCGACAAAAAGAAACAGACGATTCCTCTTACAATTTCGGTCGAGCCATTCGCGCAAACGTGAAAGGAAAAAAGCGGACGTTGCTAGTAGGAGGTATGCGTTTGATTTTTCGATGGAGTCCCGGATCGTATGGACGCACTCCGCAGGGGGATGACAATGGCGTCCCATGGGAGGACTGGCCTACCAGCCACCCAGAAAACTACCCCTTCGTCCCTCGAACCTCTTCATCGTCTCGGCCCTCCTAATTGTTTCCTACGCGGTTTCTCCGTTCTCTAGATCTATCTCGGTCCACCTATAGAGATTATTCGCGTTTTACTCCCCTCATGTCTTTTTCACGCTGTCTTCTTTCCTTTTTCCTCTGTCAATGCGAACACGGATACTGTACACCTTCAAACATTTCCGCGAATTCAATGCCCCAATGAATCATTTTGCATAATTCATGGAATTTAGACCATTCAGTTTTTAACTGAAATCCTGTTACGTGTCTTCGCCTACCTTTGTCTAACATTACTTTTTGGCGTGTGTTGCGTTCAACTGATTATAGAAAAGAGAAGGTCGTGTAACTTCGAAAAAGAATTTTTCTTGTAAGAATGGAAATATTTTTTATGAAAGTAGTTTGTCTTGTTTAATCGTGTTCCTAGGACAATGTTTTGTAATGTTGTATTATGATCGTATTACGCGTTATGGTAATTTATAATGGTATTATTAGATGTAAAATTTGTTGGAATTTTGTGCGCGGAAAATTCTCACTGGGAAGCAGTTAATATCATATCACTGTCAATATTTGTAAAAATTAAATAGACACAAAAATAATTGGGAATGCTTACATTAACTATATTAGTTATAGTTGTTGGACTTCACGTTCCAAGTATCGAAGGAATATTTCAAGTCAATTTTCTCGAAAACTGTTATTTTACATGTTTCATGGAATTTTCCATTACGAATTGAGTCTCTCTCAATTAGATCATGAATTACATGCCAGCTTGTAAAACTGTTCAGCAAAATTAATATGAAATTTTGTAATCCATTATATACCCGCTAAATGTTTTTAGAAGAATATGGTATTTGACATTTTGGCGAATGGACGCAGTAGGTGGAGTGCAGAGTGCCGTACGATCCTAAAGGTCGAAGAACACGTGGTCGAGGGTTTAATCTAGAGAAATGTTGAATAATAGAGGCGAGTAGAACAGGGCTTGCGATTGGCTTATGCAATATTCAGACTTAGTTTCCGGCCAAGTTCGCGTTCTAATTAAGTTCTCGACGTTGAAAAGCGTTAAGCACCTTGTCAACTGTTTAACTGCAGTCCTCCCTGCTTTCAGATTCTTCCTTAAGTTCTTTCTCAAGTGCAACCAGAACTGCCTTAAGAATGCTGGCAACCCACGCGATATGAGGCGCTTCCAGGTAAGTTAATACGTCAATTTTTTATGAGTGAACCGTATCTAATATCACATATTAAATATCGAAAAATACATATTTCCAAATAAATGTTGTGAAAATACGAAATAAAAGTTGGAATTCAAATATGAAATTTGAATATTTTTTGTTTTCTTTGAAAAACATGTTTTACGTGACTTACTAAATTTTGTTAAACAATACCATACATTATGAAATATAGCCATTTAAGTTTTCCAAACATTAAATATGTGCATCGTGTATTACCATTATTTCTACGAGACTTTCATAAAAACTTTATACAGAACGTATACTTTTAATCATAATTGTGTTTACATTTATTAATATTGATTCTCTTTTAAAGACATTATGATACAAAAGTTGTTATAAAATATTTAAATGTACTTTTTCTGCGAATGAAAACATTTGTTTTTCATTTTCATTTATTGTCTAAACAATATGTAACTCGCCATAACACACCATTTTGATTTCCACATACTAAATGTTAAATTACAAATTACGTTATAAAATCTCACTTAAGCTCGCCGATTTTTCTGTCACAAGAAATATTTTATAAAACATTATAGCAATATTAAATAGACACAGTAATTTATGAATGACGCTATGTACAATATTCTTCAAGTATACCAGTTTGACACGTGTTTGCTTCTCGACGAAATCAGACTAAAATTCTGTCAAAACGAGGATTGCTATACAAAATTCGGTCGTCATTCGAGTCACGATTCAGGAAATTATAGGGGCGGACGGACGGAGACGAGAACACTGAAAGTCCCCCGCAATTGCGTGCTAGCGTATCACCGTGTAGCGTGTCTGCGGATGCGTACCTTCCACTTGGAGGCATTCTTTTTTAATTTCCAAAAGGAAAAGAAGTTCGTCGAGGAAACGAGCAATTTCTCGATGGCGGTCGGCTATCGTCGAAAGTTGAGATCCCCATCCAAGAGACGTAATCCAAGGGGTTGGCAATTAGCTCAGCGCGGCATCAACCGACCCACCCCTATATCCGTTCACCCTTCCACCCCATCTCCGCATTACGGTTTCTCCTACTCACCGACAACCATATCTCGCCACTCCGCCCATGTCCGGGCGAAAAGATAGAATTAAAAAATAAATTACCAAAAACTTTCTGCCTTGTCTTTTCGCTTTCTTTTATTCTATTGCATTCTTCCACTGTGTGATTTCTGCCTTTCCTTCTGCTCTATCTATTCCACGAACAAAAATTAACGACGATTTAAAATGGTACAATTAAAACTTATAATCTACTGAATTTCGAAATAAGTTTCAGTAAATTTTATTGAAATTTTCACGCAAATTTATTTTGTCACTGTTTTTGTGAAAATGCATGAACCTATGACGTGTGTTCAAGCTGATCAAAGTATTCGAAAATTTGAATAAATAAACTCGTAAGCTTTGATTACTTTTGAAAGAAAAGATATCGTAAGAAATATTAATAAAAATTCCTCGTATAATTTTCAAAGTTTGTCGCGTACACAGCCGCGCACACATCCGCGTTAATATGCTTCCACTTGGATCCCCAAGTAAAGGAAAACCAAAATTAAGTTGTTATCACGCCTTCAAATTTGTTTAGGAATTGCTTATTACTCGGAGTTTCGAATTAAAATTTTAGCGGCACAGCTTTAGCTACCTCGAAAATTTCTCTCGCGGAGGACCGTCAGGTTTTACTCAAGCTTGTGCCGGGTAAGTTCGCACTACGTTACGCGCTAGGTAATACGGCCAACTAGCCAAGAAAGTTGCCAAGTCGCAAAAGGACAAAACTTCGAGCATTTACCAACCTCCCGGCCGATTTTATAAACGTTCTTTCTACTTTCTCCCGAAAATCATCGTCCTCTTGTTTGCACCCAAAAAACTTGAGGTTAACTGCACAGCTTGTTTCAATTTGCCGAAAGTTTTATATACCAAAATATTTCTTACGCGTTATCAAAGAGAAATGTAGGGAAAGTGAAAGTGAAATACGTGAAATTCACGCGTAATCGCGACGCAATAAATATAATTATGTATGCAATCACCATTATAAAATGCTTAAATTGGCGCAATCATTTTATATCATAATGCTTAAGCTTAGTCGTACAATCTAGCTGGGTTCCAAGATTCGGCCTTAATGAGATTATATTCATACATTTGTATGATAATATCTATCATACGTGTAAATAGGGGAGTCACGGGAGTCACGGAATACATGGCGAATATCACATAACGCGATACAGCGAATCAGGCTGTATTGCTCGTACACAGGCTCGTGTGATTAACGTACAGGGTGTGACAATAAAGTTTCGAGAACGATTCAATTAAAATTTTTATTTTGATAATTAAGCAAATATGAAACCGTCGTTGCAATGTCGTCTCTTTTGACACTGCAGAAATATATTGTTATTTCTATAAAGCACACTTAATTCTGTATACTATATTCTTATTCTGTATTTTTTATATCTACTTTAATAGTTACATTATATTATTTTGTATTTCAAAAAGTGGTCATAAATTGTGCTCGTACCTTTTGCTTCTTAAAACAACAGTGACAAAGTGACAGGGAAACAAGTCAATCACATATGGAAAGATATTTTAATGTTATGATGTTTTCTATTTTATCAATAATATACTTATACTAAAACATAATGTTATAATTTATTTTTAAAAGATGGTAAATTTCTAATCGTTATTTTTATTCGAGCGTATCTCGAAATATTTGTTACTATCTCATGCATTGTTATTTCTGAAGATTGACAGTACAATTTCATTCAAAAGTCTGATCACATTTTCGACTGAAATCTCACGTCAATGAATTTCAATCTTCTGTAACAGGTGGTCATTTCCACGCAAGTAGGAGTAGAGGGACCACTACTGGCAGTCTCGGACAACATGTTCGTTCACAACAACAGTAAACATGGGCGTAGAGCGAAACGATTGGATCCTAGTGATCCCGGCGAATACAACAGTGAGTATTGTAAATCATATACGTAAATACTTTGTGGATAAATAATTGTGAAATAGCGATGTCATACTGACAAGAATTTATGTACATTAAAAGAACTACTGTAACGTAATTGTTCAGGAGCAGGAACGGGATATTCGCTATAAAAGTGACTGCGAATGAAACGCACAATTGTGGCAGCTTGACTTGGATAATGGAGTATTAAACGATGCTTTTACTGCGTCCCGTTTCCAGTCCAACACAACTTTAATATTTATAATCAATTCATTTGTCTGCCTCACTTTTCCATGATTACTGGCATTGAATAACCTATTGCGAATTTAAATTATTATAACTCGTTTATTCCGCTACCACAATGAATAAAATGAATTATAAAACGAATTTGATGTTACCGGGAGGATATCAAAGTGACTATTTCACAATTATAAAACTGCCACATCAAAAGAGAATATTTTTAAATATTTTTGATATTTTAAGTATTAATATGTACGAATTCCGAGTAAAATACATTTTTAACACTTAATATGAACTTTGAGAATCGGTATCTCTTAAAGTTGCTTGAACGGTGGACATTTTATTCTTTGCTCCGCTTTTGGAACCTAAATAACAATGCCCCGCGTTATTATTAACATGAATGATTTTTTATTATAATTTTATAAATTATTCTATACAACATTCTTTATTACAGAAACTATCATTTTATTGTAAAATTACATTATTAACTTGTCAGTTGTTGGATTTTAATTATGTTAAACTTTCATATACTACATATTTGTGAAAAAAGAAAACGTATCACAAACATTAAAAATTGCAAGAGGTATCAGCAAAAGCATTTATAAATTTATTCGATAAATACCAAGAATTGTTTAAAACAATCGTAAGGAAAAATGGCAGGCATATTGACGACATACAGTCAGCAACAAAAGTATTTTGCAACTATTACAAAAATTGTACACCATATATTGCCACTTATTGAAACATATTGCATTCATGCTATATACAGGCAATCAAAATTTTAAAAATATTTAACAATATGCAAACAAATTATGGAACATTTATTGTCTCTACGCATGCATAACGTTGGAATATTTTTGTCGCCGACTGTAATTTAAATGAACACTACATATATCTTCTAGTCTACAAATTTGTCGCATAAAATGATTTCATTTTTAATACGTAATATTTATCTTTCGAACGTTTAAAGTCATTCAAATAACAATATACGGTGTAGGATAATACAGTATAGTGAAGCGTAAAATTGTTGTCTGATCGTAGTGGAATTGTTAGAATCCCCGAATGAAAAGCAAGGACAGGGTGGGGAAAGGAAACGCGGGCTTGGTTTCTTCGAGATCGGTATAACGACTCGAGAGCCATAGTAGAGGGTAGAATCGTAAGAGGACGAGACAGGGCGTGCTCGGAGGATAGGATATAAGGAGTCATAGGGCAATTCAGCAAAGTTTGGCGTCGACCGCGCATACAAACGGCTGATATCGTGCGGCCACCCCTCAACTGCGCACTCCTCTCTTTTCTCGGTCTTCTTCCATCCTTTCTTTCTTCCTGCGCAAAGGCAAGATGTAAATCAATGGGATGCGGGAAAACGGGGGTTCTGCCACGTTCTCTGTGCTTTCTTCCTTACTATTATTTCCTCCATCCCTAGCCGTGCTCCTCTCCACAGGTTTGAACGTTCCCTTCCACCTTGCCACCTTTTCACGTCTCTTTTTTATCTGCTAGAACAAAAAGTAGGAGGATATGAAAAAGGCGCGCCAATCGGACGGTCCGTTTCCTTTTTTATTCTTTACACTCGCATCTTACCGCTACTTTTTCCTCTTAAATCGCGATAGTTAGTTTTAATGTTAAGTTCACTTGTGACAGTAACTTTTGTAATGTTTTTCTAATACGTGTATAGGATCTTCTTGAAAATCATTTACGGTGACCTGAAACGACTTTAAAGTGAATGTAAATAAAGGGGATGGAAATGGAGAAGGAGCAGTCTTATAATTTCTATTAACTATACACGAATTTTCTAACTATAACCAGAACTTCAGTGCTACATAGTGAAAAGAGATAATACAATTATTTCCCTACTATGTACTTTCGTTAATTTCGAATAAATAACTACTACTAATGCTCTTTTCAGAATACAATTAATATTTTATTATGGTGCATAGCTAAATATTTCACTCATTCTAATCGTTACCTTTAACGTTGAAGTCTGCCTACAGCAATTCACTGACTGACGTCAAATTTGGAGTTCATTCTACAATATATATAATTGAAAACCATTTTCCTTTGTTTTGATTCATACAAGTAGTTATACATGAATTATTCTCGGAAATAGCTAATACGCTTGCAACGTACTATAAAATTCATATAGACCATTTAAATCGCTTAAGCCGAGGGAACGCGGCTTGGCCATAAAACATGATTTTAATGATGCCGTTTGCCGTGAAAGAGATAGCGACTTTTTCTGAGGAACTCGCCGAGTATTTACCAGGGTGTACGGAGATCTTATATCGCGATCTCACAGTGATCAGAGAGAATCGGATCGAACATGTTCGAGTACAACGGCTCGACTTCGACGACGGTTTGGTGGTAAAAGAGGAGTTCGGGAGTAGAGAGTAGCACCCCTTACCGCTCAGTAATGGCACGGGGGATTTTATTTATTCCGGGTTGGTACGCTTGTTCCGGCCTCCTCTACTGAATCCCTCTTTCAACCCTCCTCCTCCTCTTTCTCCTCCTCCTCCACCAACTCCTCCTTCCACTCCACCTCTTCCTACATTTCCGCCCCATACCATTTCGCTCGACAATTCTCTACCAGAGTGGTTGCCAACGTGGCTGCCTCTGTTTAACGACTTTCTTGTACATTGAACGCAATAAATACCTGTGTCCCATTGAAGAATCCGCATTTACACTAGCATCGGAACTCTTTAACGCTATGTTCTCTGTTCTTACGTTTCAATTTCTTTGCATTCCTTGGGATACAAAGCACGCGATCGAATGAAACGTCGTTGAATCGAAGCGCGAATTAACGTTCTATTCGAGTCAGTCCTAAAACTATAAACGCACGATGTATCGTAACTAAAAGGATTTCAGTGAATCGATGAGTATCAGAATTATAAAATTTCCGGTTATATTGTAACGTCTTAGGAAAGCGTTAATTTATAATTATTAGCGTTTTGACAATGGTGTCCAGAAAATGGAAGGTATTTCTCGCGTACTATGTTTAAGTACGGTGTCCACCGTCGAGGTCTCTTAAGCCTTCGAGATTTAATAGCTGAGCCGGACGTAAGCAATCGAAGGTGGAAACTGTTTGAGCATCACTGGGAGCAATATACCATGATGTCAGCCACTCTGCCGTGGCTCCGTTCTACCAGGGTCGGTACCGGGGGTGGCTTGGCTTCGCCGGGGTACAAAATGATATCATTGGGTTATAAATTCCAAGCAGAGACACCAACGGCCCGATCGCCCCCCTTCCTTCTTGTTACAACTCTTCTCCGGCCACTCCGACCCTCATTCTCTTCCTCCCGACACTCTTTCTCTTTCTCTTTCTACGCGGCGACGTCTTTCTCCTTCATAGATTCTCTGTCGTTTTCCCTCCCTCTTACTTTCCCTCATCCTCGTGGCTTGAACTTGCTTGCCACGCTGCCACGGGAAATATATCTACCATTCGCCCTGAACCAAATAAACAGAATATTCAGATAATTTTCCGTATCCCACCCCTAACTAACTGTCTCAACTCGACTCACACAGCGATGGGGAATCCGCGTAATTTCTCGACTTATTCCTCATACGAGTTTTTTTCTCCACGTGTGCAGCGTGTTATTATTTTTCTGATTTCATATGGTAATCTTGAACGTGAAACCTTCATTAAATTTCTTCGATCAGTGGTAATACTCTGTTTTAATTCTTTTTAACGTTTCGAGGGCTGTTGCTCTTTACGGTATTTGAAATTTTGTATCTCAAGCAAAAAGTATTCGATGAAATAGATCAAGTGTCTTCTATTCAATATAAACAAATATTTTTATTCGTTAATTTGGAAAAGCGTTTTATGATCTCGGTTATTGAGGAAATTTTTCAGTAACACTTATTTTCATCTTTTTTCATAATATTACAAGTGCTCTACAGTTTTGCTTGTATTATATTATATCTTTTAAAAATTTTTCAAAATTTAATTTTTCAAAAATTTTACATACAGGTGAATACCGTATTGTTTTATATTTCGTAAAAAGAATGAAGCGTTTATTACTTCGTTAATATTCTTCTGAATTATTGTCAACTATTCTATTCTATTTCTTCCTTATGCATACAATAATAATTTTCATTACATATTAATATATATATATATAAATAATTCTTTCAGTAATCACATTTACGATTGTGATTAAGCACCTCTCGCTAAGGACAGTAAGCAAACGATTAACAAAGTTAACCAAAAAATTCTAATGAATATTCTATTTTTGTAATGTCTAATTGATATTTTTGTGCAATTAGGTCTCTATACACCTGTACCCCTTCAAACACCATGCATAAAGGCAATATCACCGAACGAGGGATGGACATCTGGAGGGTCTACAGTGATAATCATAGGTGAAAATTTCTTCGATGGACTTCAAGTAGTGTTTGGATCGATGTTGGTTTGGAGCGAGGTATGTTCTTCAAATTTCTTTAATCGTTAATAATACATGTTTTAATGATATGTAAATTAAAAAGTCAAATTTAAAAATAACAAATAATTGTATTTATGTCCTTACGAAAACGGTTAACTTTTACTTTCCAGCTAATCACACCAAATGCAATCAGGGTGCAAACTCCGCCAAGACAGATACCAGGAGTCGTTGATGTCACACTATCGTATAAGACTAAACAATTTTGCAAAGGAACGCCTGGGAGATTTGTTTATGTCTGTAAGTATAGTTATTAACCATTGTTCCATACAAGTGTATATTACATTCAACATCGAAAAAGGATTCTAAATTGAATACGTTATATATGTATAAAAACTAGTTCATTACTTTTTCAAACTAACTTTACCTATTTACGAAAAAATCTATAATTTTTCATTTTCGAATATTGCTATCACTTTCCTTGACTTTGTTCCATATTTGAATCGCAAGACAGTTTAAATAAGAAGACTTCGAAATATTTAATATTGTTTCAATATTTCATAAACTAACCTTATCTGCAGCTAATGAAAAACGATCAAGATTACTTAAAAATTTTTCGAAGTTTCATCTGAAAGTTGTAAATCCAAAAATCTGAAATGTATTCACGTTGAGTTAATGCGTCCTTACTAATCTTCCAGCATTAAATGAACCCACGATTGACTACGGCTTCCAAAGGTTACAAAAGTTAATACCGCGGCACCCTGGCGACCCTGAAAAATTACCGAAAGAAATTATACTGAAGAGGGCGGCAGATCTTGCAGAAGCTTTGTACAGTATGCCCAGGAGTGGGAACGCGGGAATTACAGGTGCTCCGAGGAGTCCTGGATCAGGTCATCCACCTGCACCGCCTACTTCCAGTTCAGCGACAGCGTTCAACTCGTATACAGGACAACTGGCAGTGACGGTACAAGAAAACGGTAGTGCGGCGAAATGGACAGACGGTAAATATTAACACCTTTTTATGGTCCGTAAGAAATGGAAAGCATGATGTTATACGACCAATTTAAGAAACTAAATAATTACTTTAGGTGATTACACTTCTCAACACAAGGTTTATTTCTTAAGTAGTCAGACGTCACTTTTTTCTGACAACTGAGTACTAACAACAATAGAGTTTCAAACAGTATTGACCCATTAAATGTCACTGCTCTCATTCACTGTTAGTGCAATTCGCGTTATTGAAATAAGTTTCCAAATTATTTGGACGTAAAAACTGTTTCAATGAAACCATTCATTGAAACTGCCACTTAAATGATAATCATGATTTCATTTCAAAAGGTATAAGAATATTTCGTTTCTCAGGTAGATCGAGAGTATTCAAAAAATAGACGTTTAAAGCACGTAGAGCTTTTGAATGTAAAACGTGGCTTCATGGCTCTTCCAACTTAACAGAGTCCGGCTAATATGTGAAATCGCAAAACAAAGTTATCTGTGTTTCCGTGTCGGTTCCTCGTTACAGGGCATTAGGCAACAAGTTGCGCACAGAATGATGAAATACTGACGAGTTCGTCTGACGGGCAGGTTTCTATTTTTAGACGGTAGTTCCGTGACGACAGGAGCCAATGCTGGAGGCGGAGGTGGCGGTGGTGGTGGTGGCAGCGTCGGAGGCAGCGTCGGTGGAAACGTGGACGCCTATAGGCAAAGCAGTAGCGCGAGTCCACGTGGGGTTGTGACTGGTGGTGGTTATTGCGGAAGTTCGGCCAGCACACCCCACAGTCACAGCACCAATGGAAGTTACTCGGTCGCCAATCCGTACGCCGGTAGCCCAACCCTTTACACGTCGCGTAAGTAATTTTTCAGTATTCTTCGAAATCTTCTTCTCGACTCTATTTCATCGCTTTTACATTTCTTCATACATTTCAAACTGTGTCGAACATAGAACTCGGTGTAACATTTCATCAAATTGTATTTTGATTTCTGACAAATAAACACAACGGAAGAAGATTCATACCTGAGTCACTATAAGTTTATAAATGCAAACGGAATGCATAATTCTATAATTTGGGGCTCTATAGCCTCAAAGTAAACACTAGGATTTTAAGATGTATGTTAAGTGTGTATTTTAGTTTTAATTGCTATTATAAAATGTAGAAGTATTCTAATTGCTACTACTAATTTTTATAAATTTAAAAGGAAGAATATTTTATTAATTTATTATTAATTTGTAGGCACAATAACGTTTCTTTTGCTCAAAACCTACTCGCAATAAGAATTATGTTATGTAGTTTTAAATCAGTTTGCAAATATAAAATTATTTATATTTTATTTTTTGCCTTTGTTTTTAAAAGTTATACCTTTAGAATTTCAGAAACGAAAGGACATTTTTTCATGTGCATATAGTATCTCGCAACCTGTGATGAAGTATACAAAATAGTAACTCTACATACTACAAGCATGAATACTTATCTACCAATTGTATTTCACAGACCACTCAACCGAAAATTGAATCCGATTTCGAATGATATTTTGTTACATGGAATCCTTCAGATTACAAATGGTTACTAGCAAAGGATAAGAAGAGAAGTGATCCAGAAGAGTTTTTACTTCGACACAATTTGATTTGCATTTTATTATCAGTGCATGTATATGTATATGTACGTGTACGCGAAATCCTGCGCGCTATAGCTTCCTACTGTTTAGTATCACGTTCAGATGCACGCACTTTATGAGTTTTCCTTATGTGAAATTTTCGTTTTAGCGCACGAACAGTATGGCATTTTCTATACGTCCGGGGACGGGAGTGCGTTCGCCCCCGTAGTACGACCACCGACTACCTCAGTCCCACCGCACTGGTCCACACAGCACCACCTCGCCACAGCCGCCCAGTAACCGCTAACCGTCCACCATCACAACCACCATCATCACCACCACAACCACTCCATGCACTGCGATTAAAGAATTATGAGAAACATTCACAAGAGACGAGATTCGAGAATGTATGTACACACGTTCATTTACAAACCCTTGATAACCCTTTTCTCCTATCCTTAATTGTATTCAATACCTCACTGTGTATGCCTTAAGAGATACTTTTTTGTTATTAAGTAATTTAATAGAATCTACATTATTGCGTATGAGGTACACTTGTTTTTGTTTGTTGGAAGATATGACTTTTATATGTGAGAGGTATTTTGCTTTGGAAAAGGATTTAATATTCAATAATGTAGATTTTTTATTGGAGATGTATTGAATATTTAACAATTTACCAATTGTTAATGTACAAATGAGACGAAAACAATTTTATACGTAAAAGCAAATAAAAAATGTTAGTTATAATTTTCCTGCACGCAGCTTCGTTTTTGAAAAAATCGAATTTGAAAATACATTGAACACAATTATTCTAAAATAAAATCAAGTAATTTATCCGTCTATTATTCACTACTTTTATTTATGATAAATAGCGGCACCTACACAGTATTTGATTCCACTGTATTAAATTAGTGGATGTGAAAAGTTCATTTATCGCAAAAGAATACAAATGGAGATAGTAGGACAGATTGAGGCGAATCGGATCAGTTCAGATTTAACAGCGAAAAAGTACTAGTTAAAACTTATAATCAACCTCTTTTTTCATAAATTTCTTATTAATAGACATTCAGTTACAATATCAGTAAAAAAAATTTGTTAAACTGTAAAATCTTCGTTTTATAAGCAAAAAACCGAAAAAAGAAGTATCCGATTTGCCTCGGTGTACCAATTATACAAAAGTGCACATCTAACATTATAAAAATGTTCAAACTCGGTTTACTCTGAAACGAAAGCTCATACAAGAATATTTTATTTGACATTATCATTTATTTTTCCTCATTTCCTACCATTTTTGTACTAAGAATTATTAGATTTTTTAAACGTTTGAATAATCATTGCATTAAAGTCCAAATTGAAAATGCTTTATTAAATCACTTTATGGCAATGATAAAATTAGGATTATATGGAAATTGATTTATTATACAATACTTTACATTCGTACGCATGAAGAATGAAATTCACAACTCCAATTTCAATTTTTTGCACATATAATTATTCTTTAACATCTTAGACTTTTTATGTAATTTTCTTAATAAGATCAAATTTATAACAAATAATGATATTTAACAGCAACTTTTAAGTCTATAAAGATAAGTTGTTAGTACCAAACGGGTTCTTTTGTTGAAAGAATGGAAGATATTTGCATACCATTATTATTACCAGCACACAAAGAAACCCTGAAGAAACGAATGTTATTGTATCGTTTATTGCCATTGATAGTTAAGAGAACCACTTAGCCAACAAGATCATTAGAGTGGCAGTTTTGTTGGCACGTGTCTGAACGACGTCTGATATACAGCTCGTTCTTCATCTTGTAATATGCACTGAGCTTCGATCCGATATTGCGTACAATTCATTAAAGTCTCCACAGTCTACAGGGTGATTCATGTAACTTGTTATATACAAATCAATATCTCGGTAAACAACAAAAATATCGCAGAAGTTGTATATGGTGATTTTATAATAAAAAAATACTGTATTTCTTCCAAACACTGCAAATGCCATATTTCAAGTAATACTATGAAAATAAATAAAATTATATACATTTATAGATCATTTTAAAATAAACTTTAACTGTGGAGATTAATTTTATTACAGCAAAACTGTTTCTAGATTTCTAAATTTGACTGACTGTATAACATTCTTACTGAAATTGTTTAAAAATTATGTAATATAACCATCACTAACGCATAAGAATATGAAAAATAGCTGAACATATGTTGTAATTATTAATGTCCATAATTAATTTAAGGTTATCGATTAAAAATTTGTTATTCGTTTCATGCAACTTGTAGAAATATTTGAGTAATTATTTACATCGTACGGAGTATTGATTTACAACAGACTTTGTAACATCCTGTATATTTTAATGTATATATTAAATTAAACGTTCTTCCAGATAAAAAGCATCATACATAGAAAAAGTAATAATTAATGAAGTCACATTTGAAAACTGTGAGCAACTTCTGTAAAATTTAAGTCATTTACGAATTGATTTCAAACAACTATAAATTAAAAATAAATGTTCATCTTCGGTGCTTTACAGCATTTGATTTGTTTCATATCTTTACAGTTATTAGTTAGAAAACAAGTAATGCAATTTTCCAAGTTTAATTGACATCATCTATAACAATAACTTATAAACTGAAATTGTTTTTACAGAACAGATCCACATGTGACTATTTAAACATCATATTTTATGTGTACATCCATAGGCATACCAGTTTTAATTAGGAACTGAAAAGTGTGATCACTTTAAACCACTAAAATGCAAAAGCTCGAAGATAAATATGTTAATGACATATCTACGTTGCATGAATATTTATTTTACTTTCAATGCTTTTATTCTTTATATATTCTGTAGTTATTAATCTTATGTCATGATGAATTATACTAACGTATAACCGACAGTGGGTATGTTGCAGGACTAGGAGAGGTTGTCGGTTCACCATTCAACATGAATCCATTTATGTTGCCCACCTGCAGCCAAGGATATTCAAACACCGCCAGTCCATTGCTCTCGTCAAGTAACAAATAGTGTTACGAGATGTAAGCTCGAACGAAAATATCGAGAGGTTCTGTCTTCGCGGAAGCGAAATTCACTCGCACCAAGTGCTCCAGTGAATTTTAACGTTCTCATAATCATCGTATTTGTAGTTGACAATCGCTTTCGTGAATCGAAATCGATTCTCTCGATCCACCTTTTTCCCAATTATCGTACGAATGGGAAAAGAAGTGGTCGCGCAAAAACGTTTGTGCGTCATTTTCGTCGAAGCCACGAAATGAATTGAGTTTGAGAGTATATCGAAACCAGTGCAAAAATTGATAACGTTTTATGATTAACGATCGAATAAGTTAAGGAATGATACATATCGAAAAAGACGTTGTTTTTTCATCTCTTGACATAGTCGTTCGGATGATACACCCTACACATTTGTTACAATTACAAAACAAATGTAATTTGTTATGTTCGTATGCAAAAAATAATCCGTTCATCGTAATTAATTTTTAAAATACGAAAAGTACATAAGTGTTATGAAATGTTGAATACAAACACGAGCTTTATTTTAATAGCGATAATACTCCATTACAATTTCTGCTACGATTGTAGTAACCTTTCGTGGAAGGTAATTAAATCGTTATTACCCTTTGATCCTTTTATAATAGCTCCCCCTGCACTGCCAACTTACTAAACATTCCTAAATTTTCCGTTCATCTTGCATCTTAAGAAAAAATGTTTAATCATGTGAAACAGCCGACCGACTATAGTCTTTTCGTGTTACTGATATCGCTATTTTTGACGTAGCTGTCCCAACAGGAAGAAGGCATTTTTATGGATAGATTTGAATATACCCTTTACCATCTGCGCCTCCTCCCGCGCACAGAATAGTCACGTGACTGAAACTTGCGACAGAATATTTTTGAAGCGTTTTCCATCGATTTTGTAGCAAGGTGCTTTAATAAATCCGCCTAAAAAAAATCGAAAGTTCAGAAACGGGAGCAGTATACGTGAGCAGAGTCGTTCACAGGGTGTCGGGGAATTTTGTATGAAACCAAGCGGAGGACTGTCGAGGGTCGAGGGAGACTAGACACCACTAGACGAACATATCGCTTATCATTGAATAACAGACATCATAGTTTTAGAGAGCATTTTCGACTTTGAAATTTTAACTTCCTACCCCTACATTTTAAGAGACTAACCAATATCAGCTAGGTAGCGTATCGTCTAACGTGTAATTTGTAAATTTTCTTGTAAATATTGTTGCGATGTACAAAACGACAGAATTATTTCTAGGAATCCAACGAAATGATATTAACGAGATTGTAGGACGAAAAGTTATTATATATAGGTGTACATAATCGTAGAGCATCTGTAGCTTAATCCGTATAATTGTATGATTGTATGACGGCGATCCAATCCTTTAACGTGCGGACTATTACATAAACGCGTATGATCGGTGAAACGGGTATAGTGCACTTGAATTCGCAGTCAACCATAAAATATCCGATCGAGCGTACACGTTTTCTTTATTTCTACAAAACAAACGTCTCAACTTCGAAAACAGTTTTATACGTTCCAAAAGGTTATTATAACTGCTTTCACCGATTCTATATTTCTCGATGTTTCTCAGAATTGATTTTGTAACGTCTAATTTCTACTATCACGTCTATTATATGATTTGAATTATTTTAAACGGAAAACACGTATAAATAAGTAAACGGAAAGTCGTGGATAGTATTATAGTTGATGGCCACGTTAAAAACTGGATTGTACGTGACAACTGTATAAAACGTATATAGTTAATTTGAATCGTTCGATAAGCCGGCCCAAAACGAATCTCACACCAAACGAATCTCACGAAAGTATACGAAGCATATATCAGAATTGAAATCCATAATTAGTCCAGATTTTGCAGTGGATTACGAGCATAGATCGTATCATTTATCAGAACGAGTGTCGTTAAAATTTATTATTGTAAACAGTTCCTTTTTGCATATCGACTTGGTGAGCACTCTTTCAATACGAAAGGTGCACCCTTTGTCCGAGAGCCACACGCTCTGTGATCTTGTGATGTTGATTGTAATATTGATTATCACTTTCGTTCCATCATGTCATATTTTACATGACGCGTCGTTATTGTACGCATGCGAGTGCGCGCAAGCACGCATACGCGCGTACAGACACTCGTCGGTGTATATTAAAATAAATTTAACTTACATTTTTGAGAATTAAAATCAAACGTTCATGATTTTTTCACCACTGCCCACTTCTCCTTGTACAGAGCGATGAAGAGACACTTTAGAGCGCTTTAGTAGTTTAACAACTCACAGAATGTAATGTTGACTTTTCGTTGAAAGTTTCGTTTAACCCTTTCAGTGCCAGGAAACGATATATCGCTCCTACACTTGTAAAAAATGTCTTTTTAATTTTAATAATAATAAGTCTAACATGTTTTTAATATATTTACAAATTTTATAAACTTTAATTTAAAATTGTCTTGATTAAAATTGACTGGCATTTCTCGAATATATATGAAAATTTCCCCTGGTACTTAAAGGGTTAAACATTATTTTTTTATTTAATTTATACATTATATTTTTATTTAAACATTAGGTAAAGAATACATTAATTTAAAGTTGCATGACGGAATAAAGCTTCCACTATAACAGAAAAAATTACTAATGGAAACTAATTTTTATATTTTTCATCGAAATAATTGATTTTGGAATCTGTATTGATTTCATATTGCTTATTCGGTGCAGTAAATACTATAGTTCTTTAAAGCTTTGTACTCTTAGAATACCTACTTAGAACAATTTTACTACTTTCAAATAAAGGTAAGTACGAAAAATACTATTTAAATCAAGTCGTAATACGTGAACTGTTACGGATGATATTTGCAGCATGTAATAATGTACACAGATATTATATAACTGTAATATACAATTATATAAAACGTTAAACACGAATTTAAAATCATTTTTACTGACCGATTCAAGTTCAAATTTAGTTACAGAGACAATAAAATGCATTATAACGGTGATATAAACATAATTTTTACAGAAAAATAACAGAATTATACTCATAAACTTCTCTTCGATTCCACAATATAATTGCTCTATTACTTATAACATTATTTATTCTATTTTACATACTTTCATACTAAATACCAGGCAATTTTAGTATTTCATACTAAAATTAATTTATAGAATAGTAATGGATGCAAAGTTATATTTACCTCCTAAAGTGTGTTACATATCAGTATTTCCTACATAATAATCTAATTTAATATATCATTTTATATAATAATTTTTAACCCTAGAAAAATAAACCCTGATTATTTCATCTTGATGTAATACAAGCGCCTTCTGGTGTACTACTCTTTCTCTCAGGAGAGCCCAGAGCGGGATCAACAAATAGCGAAAGAGGATCTCGAGAACCAATCCAGAGCGATTAGTTCACATGGTGTCCTGTTACCTCTAGCCGCCAAACGGTAGCGCACACGGCACACGTTATTGTAAGGCTGTTTGTGTTATTAGATTTAGATTGGCCGACACGTGGCATGCGGCATGACTGGCACGTGCCCTATTGAAAACGTTACAACGTGGGCACAATATAAAACCATTTTTCTTGCAATATTGATTCCCTTGCCGATTCCTGTGAAAACATTCTACTTCATCACGAATTTGTCATCTGGCCATTATTTTCTGCAATCTACCAGAACAGGCGTGATTAATTATTCATGCAACCGGAATTGGGTTTCTCTATCGATAACCTTTTCGTAATTATTAGTCATTGTTACTGAATAAATCATGTAACTTGTTTTCAAGCAGATTAAATGAAACAAAAGGTTTTATAGCTCAAACGTAATTTAAGTCTCATGTATACTTACATTCATTTTTGCTTTAGCACGTATAGGTACTTCTTGCAATTACGTAGGAAAAAATACGTATACTCTTTATGAGTTGTATCGTATTATTTATGAACTTTCCAAGAAAAATTAAGATCTACTTGTTTGTTATGAATAAGAAACATTATATTTGATCGTAGTCAATTTTTATTACAGGTATAGTTACAATCTGTGTTGTAAGGCTTTTAATGTCATTTGCAGCAATTTTCAAGATCTTCTGTCATAGGCATCGTATTATAATAACTGACATTATAAGTAATATGTTGGGAATACATGTATGTTAATTTTATACAATTGCGTAGGTATAACGAGAAACTGCAAAAATAATCATTGCTGCAAAGCTGGCATTCTGAACGTTCGAGACAAATGCCAGAATTTATTTTTGAATAATACTCTTTACTACGATTACGATTTTAAACAGAAGGAAAACAAAAATTCAGTTTATTATTATTCTTGTATTTCTTACATTGTTTGTATGTATGAAGCTATAAGAATATGCTGAATTTCAATTACACTATCACTTTCTTAGGAAAATTGCTTATTGTTTTTCACTCATTAGTGAATCTAATAAAAACTACATTTAAGTTGTTTTCAAAAAACTTAAATTACTTCAAAGTAATAAATAATATAATGTAAATAGCTTATAAAGTCCTCTTTCAGGTTTACTACAATACAGTTTGCACTTCAGTATACTAATAGGCTTTTTCGCTCACTTGTTCGAACCCCTGATACAAACAACACGGTTCCTGCTACCCGCCAATCCACCGCGAGCCGTCAGCTTAGTTTTCTTTCGGCACGTGCAATCACATAAAACAGTATACGAAGCGTACCGCACTTCATCTGATTGGAATCGATAAAAAAAGTACAATTTACAGTTTCGTAGGATGTTTATAACAGCAACTAAATTTTCCCATAATTTTTTACGTATTGTTTATAATAATAAAATCTTATTTTTCTGAAAATTTTGCAGTTTAAAAAATTTGTCTAAAAAAATGTAGATATTTCTATTTTCATCACTGTATATAATTTAACCGTTAGTCACAATTGATATGATAATATAGTATTCTAATATATAAATTCTATGTTAAAATAAATATTAGTCGCAATACATGACCATGAAAGATATTAAATTTCACATACTCTTTAATAAATAATATATACTTCCTACGAATATTTACAAAAATAGTCGATTCATCATTAATTGGAGTTAAATATTATACGCATCGTTGAATTTCCCCGTCATATTGAATAACATCTATCTGAAACATTTCCTTTGTATCTTGAATAATTACGAAAATATTTGACTGTACACGAATGAAACAAACATACTGTATAGCCATTTATTTCTTCAAACTATCATAAGCATCTTTTATTAATTTTAAACTATATTTATTGCGATTACTCAATACGTGTAAACATAACGAAAGTTTTCAACTATATTTTCAATTGTATAAAATTTATTAAATGAAACATTAATAATAATTTTCATAATTCAAATTAATTTTACTTGTATTATATTGAATATTTCTATTTTCTTACAATTCAAATGTAAATTTTGTTCATCTGATATAAACAAGTAGGTAATCCAAGTTACAGTATAGGATACCTATAGCCTAGTATATCGGAAAGCAGTAGTAAATATTGGCGAGATAAGAAGATTCCAATTTTATTTTTATTTTACTTTAGATTAATGCCCATTATTATAAATTATAACATTCTCGAATATTTTGATGAAGCATTGTGTATATTGCCCTTCACATCACACTGATATCAGGGTAGAATTTGAGTCAGGCGTCAAAGGGGATGAACCGCTACTGGGGCTTGGCAGGGATAGGAGCAATCCGGTGATGCACCCTTGACAGTTCACTGCGATAAGATCTGCTCTTTCGGCGAGTTGGGTCCATTTGAATTCTGTTTGTGAGCCCTAGCAATACTACCCTTCGAGTACATCGCGCTTCCACCGATGTAAAAGAATATTACCATCTGCAGATTATCGGTAATCCTCATTCAATGGTATAGAGTTTCCTTCACTGTGTAACTCCTACAACAGACCTCAGTGTTTATCTGATAAATAAAACATTTTACGCATTCACCGTAGAATATGTACTACAAACCGTTTTTAAATCTTCATTAGTTTTAAAAATATATAGCGCAAGTATATTTAATTAAAAACGATGCGCAATGGCTTAAGAAGTTTTACAATAGCAGCCACCATGTAGATTAATTTATTTTACCACAATGTATTTTGTAATCATTACTTAAGTCTGTAGTATATTGGAAATCTAAAGTAATGTTCCTTCAAAATAAGTTATTTTCGAATTACATGTTTATTATGTACTTTAGGAATAGAAGATCGAGTATATTAATCGAGTGCATAAGAGGGGCTTGTTATTGGTAATCATCATCAGTACGAGGAAGACAAAACATGCTCATGATTATCTTTCCGTGTTCTCGCATTAACCTGAAGTCATTGTGTACGTAAGTACTGCCGAGACATCACTTGATGCCTAGGCTGAGGAATTCTGCTAATTTCTTCAGATTAGTTTTCATTCCTTCTCACTTAATTTTCTATTAGTTTGGTTTCCTAATTTCTTATATCTTCGATGGCTAATTTGCTGTTCGCCAATATAGTCACATGTAACGAATCAAAACTATAAAACTGTAAACTAGGAAGACACCTCTTTCTTTTGTGTGGTTCGGATAGACATCGAGTCATCTTCCAAATGTAGGTATGTTTTATATATGTATACATACAATACAGCCGTCCCTCCATTTACACGAACGAAAATCGTGTAAATAGAGTCTATCAGTACAAAAGAAAACAAAATATTGGAAAGAAAAGCCGGTATAAATGTTGAAAATACATATTTATTTTACATACCTTAACAAAAAAATAATAATAATGACATTTCAGAAAACAAGTAAATTTTAATGCAGCGCAACATTCAGACCGCGTATAAATAATACTGCGTGAAAAAGAGACTCGTGTAAAGTGCCGTAAAGATGGAGAGATGGGAATACAACTGTGCGTTCTAAGTATTTATATACATATACACAAAAATGATTAGATAACTATGTAATTATTAGGAATTCACGATTTCAATAACTTCGATATAAATTGTTGAGATATGAGTAATATATAAGCAACTTTTCCTCATACAAAATTAATCGCGAAAGAATCATTTTTCGATCATGTTACTCTAATATTTTTTACGCAAAATGAAGAGAGGCTTCGACCTATGCAATAAAGGAAGCAGATTCCAGTTTTTAAAAAACTACTGTAATTAAAAAATGCATGTGCCTAACTGTACACAACAAATTTATGATCGCGAGTGTGTGAATGACCTTGCACCATTTATTTCTACTCTGTAACATGTGTTTATAAATTCTGCTAGGATAAAGATATCATATATAATTATTTGAATCACTTAATGAAAAAGAGCAAAAATATTTAATAAATATGTGTTGAATGAGTAGCAGGTCTAGCTTCCAAAAGAATTTATTTATTAATTAAAAATAGAAAACAGAGTATATGTATTCGAGTAAATTTAGTAACCGTTCGCTTGGAATGCTCGTTCAGAACTAACACTAGAATAGCATGATTACAAAGAGCCCTGTGCGGAAGGGCAAAAATATGTTCTTGACCGTTTTGGGAGAAAAAAACAGCAAACTAACGGTAAAGAACGGCAGTGACTCGGGTCGCAAAACTGACCGTTTTGTGACCCTTTCTTAGGACGCTTTCGTCGAACGTGCATACAGACCACGATTCAAAATACACATCGTAAGCCGATTTATGCCAAAATCTAACAATATGATCATTTATCTAATTAATATCCATGCTGATTATTTTAAATTTGTGCTTAAAAGTGGAAAAAATTGAACACTGTAAAAAGGAATTTTCTGATCGAATTAATTAATTTGATTACTTCTATATGCGAGATATGCAAAAATCTGGATATGCTCTATGGAGGTGGATAAAACCGGATACCCTTTAAAAGTTACATAGAATATAATATAATTATAACATTTTTTTTCCATAAATTAAAAAATAGTATAGAAATTATTTTCTAGAATTTTAATAAATATAAAACTATTCTAATTTAGTTTAACCTATAGAAATTTATATTAAAGACTTAGAGACTGTTATCATATTGCTGCGCTGGGTGCACTTCGATGTGTCGCAACAATATTTATAAACAATTGTAGTTATCTTAACTATATATAATATTAATCTGAACTATCAACTAAACAAAAATCACTATTTGTGTTACCATACGTTAAAAAATATTACTTCTGTCAGGCAATGAGGCAAACCTAGGAATATGGTTCTGTCCTAACATTAAATATTTCTATTTCAATATATTATAGAAAGATGAACAAAGCGGAAAAATACTCTGTAAAAACTATAGAATATAAATAGTATTTTTCCGAATGAATTCTTCAATAATAGGATATAACAAAATAGCCGCAAAGCAATTACTTCACCTCCGAAATGCTGAAACTTTTCAACTTGAAATTTTTTTAATTCGTCTGCACAGAACATTTTGATGATTTGTGTTTTGGGACTTATTTTACAATCTCTTGAAAATCAGCCGAATGTGGTGGAACGTTTTGGCTGTGTTTTACAGCTCTTATCTTATCAAAAACTATGATATTCAGTTTGACCCACGTATCCGGTTTTGTGCAACTGCCCCCTATGTGCAAGTATATATTTGAATATGCACTAAATACTTATAAATAGTTAAAATAAGTAGATTTCGAAATTTAATAGAAATTTCAATAAACTTAATCTTTCGTATAAGCGAATAAAAATGACTGAAAACCTACATTACCTACCTATATATAAAAGCAAATGTAGTGCAATCTGTTTCACGGAATATAGACAATATATTAATGTGAAACAACAACAAACAATTCACCTTTAAAAATTTGCTTTAATATAGTTAAAATTATTGAATATTTCTGAATATCACGTATTACATATCTATATACGTAAATAGTAAATATACATAGTATGGAATGTAATAAGTACACGTTCATAGATATGTTCCATACATAGAATGGAAAACAACAATATACAATAGATCATTTAATAAAAACTATTTTCATTGATCTTTACGTGGTATTATTTAAAACATATAAATAGTATATTACATTACAAAAGAAAGTAAAGACTTATTAACTTTACATAATTAATTATGAACATTAAACGAATATTTCTTTAAAATACTTCATGCAAATATTATTAATTTTATTATTTAAATATATTTATTCTAGTATATAACAAAATTAAGCATTTAATATTAAAACTATATTTATTTATCTATTTGTATGGAAATGAAAACGGTCTGAACAAGTAGCCAGGTTGGCCGAGCGGTCTAAGGCGCCAGATTTAAGCTTTGGTTCCCCTGGGGAGCGTGGGTTCGAATCCCACACCTGGCAAACTTTTTTTTTCTTTTTAACATAACCAAATATAATAATAACACGATTGCTAAAGGATATTTTTGAACATTATTGTTAAATCATTAGTATAATTATTCATATTTTCCATGTAGCATCACAATGCACTCGAAATTTTATATCAAGTATTTAATAATGTATAACAATTCATTAATACTGGAAATAATTAATATGATTTGTTTTGCTTTATCTTTTCTATTCATTTACTAGATGTTTTGGCAAATTTAATATATTTTGCAGAAATAATATATTATCAGTTCTTCTCTGTAATAGTGATTCTTAAAAAGTATACTATTTACAATCAAAGAAATTCATTACTGTGTTAACGTAATTCTTTCATTATTTTATATTAGGCCACTTCAGAATTTTTATAAAAAAATCAATCGTATTTAAATTGAAAAATATAAAACGTAAAAAATATTTTATAAAATTTTTAAAGTACGTATAATGAGTCAGCAAGTAATATAATGTATAAGACTCTTGAAGGAATACATTACAAATTAATGTATTAATAATTTTTACAGAAAGCATAATGAGAACTGTGAAAAATATACTATGTAACGTAAAGAAGGTGCATGCAAATAATCCTCCGAGTATATTGCGTTAAAAATAAAATTGTTGAAAATAGAAAATAAAATGTTAAATAGAGGCGAAGTTATTAAACAGTTTTCATGCATACTGTATTAAACATGAATAAAGTACGATAAAAAATAAAACAGCTATTTTCATTGAAGTATTAAACAACCATAAAAGAATTTATTCCAAAAATTTACACACAAAGAATGTTTTTCTTTGTTATTCAGTATAAGTCATGAACTGGAAATATTTGTAATTCAATGAATACCTTTCTTGCTTTTGTAAAACACAATTTTCAATCAAATCTGTCGAATCAGTACAATTAAGATTAAAGATTATATAATTTTTTTTAAGCGGCTACGTAAGTATTATTATTAGAAAATTTTATAATTTTACACATTCTAAAATTCTTTCCTTTCATAACACTCCTTTTATATTCTAACTAACGGATGCACGCGAAATTATATAACAAAAAAAGTATTTGCTTAATTCAGGTCTGATTTATTATCAATTTCAATAGCGTTTGTGCAACGATTCATGCACAGATACCATGCCTCAAAAACGGCCGGATAAGAAATGGTAAAACGATTAAAAAGTATATAAAATGTGTATACAAGTTATACACTTACAATTAAAAGGTCACGCTTATACATATATTTAACAGTTATTCTTATCCTATAGTGGAATGTAAGTAGGCGTCAACCGTACAATCGAAGAAAAAATAAACTATAACAAAAACAACGTAATCTAGAAAAAAAACTTAGAAGAATGCTTATAATGGTTAATTTGTTAAGAGAGTATTCAAATGTATTTACTTTGAAACGATCTGTCATTTAAAACATTCACTCATTTAGAAAAATGCAGGAATAATCAAGTACTTTTTTCGGTGCAAATTAGGCTAGTAAATCATGCAACATGAAACGAGAAATGTCGTTATTGTGATTTTTTAAAAATATCATTTTGAATAGAAACTGTGCCAAAATATAGCACGAAATGAAAATACAGCCATGAATATATCAATTAATAATTCACAATGTTAATAATAAACGTAACAAATATATCTGTAACGAAATTAGAAATTAAATGTATTAAACCTTCGTCTTAACATTCTGATGTTATAGAAAATTAATATCCCATTGCAAACATTATCATCGAGTGTATTATAGTGAAATAATAAAGAGAACAACACTAAGATCTTGAAATGTACTGCATTTTATAATGTAATAAATCGTAATTCTACCTTCTTTAAATAAATATATTTTTATAAATTTATTCGATAATATTTAATATCTCAAATTATATATTTACGGATTGTTTCATTTGATAAATAAATATATTCACTTTAAATATACTGCTAATCTTTTCGACAAACTGTGCTGTCTACTGATGTACTGTATGTATATGATAACATTTCATTTCTCATTTCGTATTCGAGCTTATTACTTGAATGATAACTAGAGTGATCACTAAATTAACACGTTGAATGCCATGGGGGTCACCAGTGACCCCCGACCAAATCGAATTACTATAATCCAGTCAATCAAACGATGATTATTTTTAAACATTTTTGTATTCTAAACAATATTACCTAACGCGGTGACATTAGCCAAGATAAACACGCAATAATAACGAAATGATTCAATGAAATAATTTGATATTATATTTCTTTCATTCTGTGTATTTTGCAACGTGAAATCGTGCGGCATTCAACCTGTTAAATATAATAAAAGTAATTAAAATATAATTTATCTTAAATGTACGTGAAGACCTACTACTGAAAAAACGGTTGAATTCAAACATCAACATTCATAGTTAAACGTTTGTGGTCAGAAGTGTAAATCAATTCTTTTTAAACCATTTTATGAAATTTAAATTAAATGGAAAATACAAACAATATAACTAAATTAAGTAAACAGAACCTTCTAATGTTATTCTTACATTGTTTTTGTAGAATACCGTAAGAAATTTGATACAAATTTATATTTGTATCAAATATAACATCACATTACCTATCACAAATACTTGAAAGATGTATTTGGACTTACTTTCATGGAAAAATTCTTACCGACCTGTTGGAAGAAAGTGTAATAAAGATCGTATAGAAAGCATACAAATTTTTAATTTAAAACTTGCCATAAACACTGAGAACGAGATAATGAAGAAATGATGAAATATAATATTTGTACTTTACTGTATATTTAATAAGTAGAAAAATATAAAAATAACAAGTCTAAGAAAATAGGTAGCAAAGATCTTTTACAATGTATTGTACATGATATAATTTAACGAAAATAATTCTTAAGTAAAACTAAATTTAAAAAAATATATATATATATATCTTAAATATTAACTTACATCTAATATCATTCTTAATCATAATATTTTGACGGTCAGTTATGAAAAAAAAAATTATGTAAATCATAATATATGCGTTGTGTATTACCATTACCGTTGTATATTTCACTTGTTCAAACGTTTCTAACTGCTCTTATATTGTCTTGTATCATAATTACGTAGTGTTTTACTACTAAATACATAGCCTTAAATTGCTTTGGTATCCAAACTCCGACCTTTTGCACTTTCCTCATAGAGTGCAGGTGTCAGGCGATTTTCAACTGGCTCTTTTCCATTTTTTCAGCTAATCCACAAATTGTTTGATGAGGGCCTTCGTGGATTAAAGCGCTTAATCTGTCTGCATTAAAGTTGATTGATCTTCCCATGCAGAAAATGCTATTGAAAACAAAACTGTTCTTCTTGAAGTGTACAAACCACATTCGAGTTGTCGAACCGCTGGTAGAATTCTCTCCATAAACCGTTCAAATTTAAAACTATTACAGTTTTTAATTACTACAAACTATTTGTAGCAGCTTTATTAATTATTAAACTATGATTGGATCCAAAGAGCAACAAGTGTCCAACGTGCGTTTTTGTACATCTCATGGAAGAAGCAATTGAATAATATAGATGTGTAATATGGATATAATTATATTGTAAAGACATTTAAATTTTGTATAATTTTGCAATAAATAATATAAAATATTGTAAAAATATTTTAAAACTTTTATGAAATAAAAAGGGCGCCACGGACTTACGATTCAACTCTATACCCGCATATATAGGCCCTTCTTTGTCTACTTATCAATAGGAAACTGTATTAGATGGGATAAGTAAGTATGTGTAAGGAAAATTGGTAACACTGTCTATAAACGTATCAGAGTTTTCTGACTTAAGAGAGGAAATACCTTTAGAACCTTAAAATATCGCAATATTTTTTTTTTTCTATAGGATGTTAGGTGATGTTAACTCATAGGCGGTAGCCCACCGCAGGTATATATTCACGCGCTCGAAGCAGAGGACCCGCCTTTCATAATTCCCTCGTTTCAATCATTGTAAACATGTTACTTTACGTTGTTTGCGTTATACAAAAAAAATTATCATACTGCCGGCTTCGAAATATTAAAACAAAAAACCTCGGTGGAAAAGGCAAGCTGGCTGATGCGCTTATCAGGAAACTCACCGCATACTATGGCTTAGCCATACGAAGAAATATTCATAGCGTGGAAAATATGAAGAAAGCTATAATAGCCTCGTATTATCACTTATGCTCCACCAAAGAAAATCCAAGGCACGAATACTGCCTGGTAGGAAATGACAGCTGGTGCAAGTGGCAGAAAGCTCTAGCCACAGGAGCAAATTTGGACCTTATAGAACATCCTGCACCACTACATCCAGACGTGCAGAAGCACATCCTACCAATTTACGAAGATTTATCTGAAAAGAATCTATTTGAGAGGTGCTTGGGCGGACACACTCAGAACAATAACGAGAGTTTCAACTTAACTGTTTGGCGCTTCGCTCCAAAGCACCTGCACTTGGGAATAAAAATTATTGAAATTGCAGCATATTTGGCAGCTGGCTTATTTAACGAAGGATATGCTTCAGTTTTAAGAACTATGAGTGCTTTGAATATTGTAATTGGAAAACAAGCAAAAACATACGCCGACAAAATCGACGAACAGAGAATAATTCGACAGGAGCGACGCACATTATTAACTACCAAAGAGGCTCGAAAAGCAAGAAGAGAACAACGTATGGAGGAAAATCAGCTCTATGAGGAAACAGAAGGAATATTGTATGGCGCAGGAATCGCAGACTAGCTGATAAGTTATTGAAATTATTGAGTTATCACTTATCGAAACTTTGAACGTGTTTATCTCAAAACTAAATTTTCGAAATCGGTGGAATCAATAACTCAAAAACTACTCAATCAATCTTGCTGAAATTTTGCACACATATCTATAACAATATTGTCTTCTATATGAACCTAGATATATGAAATAAATTGTAAATACAAGTATCTTTTTATTGCAAAATATAGCGAAAATTTCATGTAAAATTCAAAGTTTCTGTTTAAAAGCGTGCCATTTTTTCAATTTTCAATATTTTTCACTTTCTGTAGGTTCACCTACAAACTGTAAGTGTTAGTTATCGAAATATGTCTTGCTGGTTTGTTTCAAATCAATATAGCCAAAACTAGAGCTTACACCATTTAATAAGTCGCACCACAACCTTCCCGAAAAACAAGGACGTAACTCCGCCATTTTTAAATATTTTGAAAAACAAAAAATACGTTGTAATAGAGAAAGAATATAATAAATGATAACCAAAGTTTCAAAAATGTAAAACAATCCTTTCGTTTACAAAAAAATTAATAAAGATAAGCTCGTTTTCATCCGTCTAAAGGTATTTCCCCCCTTAAGAATTCAATATCAAGGGTTTCAACAGTACCATATTATAATAGTCCAAACTTTTTTTTGTAATCTGAAATACTGTAATCTATCAACCATTGATAGTAACTAATTACTATTTATAATAACTTAAAATGATCTTACTTCAATATCGTACTATAACATTTCGTTTTTTTCGACGTCTCCAATATTTTTTTGTCGGACTGTTAAATTAATTCTTCAGTTGTTACAAATGCCAATTTGCTGTTTTTGGATATCATAAGTTAGATAAAAAATGTATAAACATGCCTATCAATGGTAAGAATTATATAAAAAGAATTGTAAAATTAGAAACTGTCAAAAAATTTAAAAAATAGAATGATACAAAATAAGAGGAAGCGAAAAGAAATGGAAGAATTAGGGAAAATAAATTAAGAAATATAAAGTAAATAAAGGGAGGGATTAAACGGTGGGCAATGTAAGTAAATATATATTTATGAGAAAGAGCAAATTGGTGACGATGACAAAATTTAATATTAAATTTTGTATATGTCAACACATAGAATATCGAAATAAAATACGAAGAACATCGAAATATTTCATCAGAAAATAACGAATGCTCGTTGAGGAAAATATTTTCGAGTGCAAAGGATTAAGAAGAGAAAAAATGAAATCAGGGTCAGCGAAAAAGGGGGAGAAACACTGGAAAGCATGAAGAAATGAGAAAAATCGAATGAATATACAATAAAAATTAGCAAAAGTAGGGCATAGAGTGAGGCAAAATAGCAGGTACTAGAAGAATTTAATTATAATTTTCAATTAACTTGTACCAAATACAAAGGATGAGAAGAAGATATGGAGAATAATGAATAAGAAATGATAAAATAATATAAAATTTGTAAAGTATAAAAGTATTTAACAACATCAATGAAAAAAAAGGTAAGTCACAAACATTAATACGATTAAATGTTAAATGAAAGAGAATGGAAATTGAAAAATAAGAAATTTTATTAAAAGTGGAAAAGAGCAATCATTTCTTTCATAAATTAATATTATTAAAAAAGGAAATAGCATTAAAGGAAGACCGGAAAAAAAGCACCACAAGAATAATTAAGAGAACTAGTACAATACACCAATCGAAGTTTGACAACAGAAATACATCAACAAAGATAAAAATAAAACTGACACAGAAAAATGTGTCATAAAATATTAATGAGTAAAATACTTGGTTAGGTCTTGTACGAATAAAAAAATACAGGAATTGAAAAGAGAAAGAAAGGTAAGATAAATTTGACACAAACAGAAGTAAAAATGTACTTAAGTCTTTGTATTTGACTACCTCCTCTAATAGGACATTTTAAATACAATACTATAATTTTTAAATACAAAAAGTTAAATAAATCCAAAACAAAGAACATGAGACTACAATTCCTTAAA